CGACTCAGTATATAGTGATGTCCATGAATCTATGCATTGGGAATCGAATTGTGATGAGATCATGATAATGAGACCGATTTACCTTTAAACATAGACCCTAAATAATCCTGGTCATAGGTTACTCAAGAAGGATATCGAGATAACTGAACAGACTAATGCGCTATATACCCATCCATAAGATGGAGGTAGTTGGTCTCATACTTTCTCGTGTGGGGACACTAAGGATATAGTGCAAGTGCTCATTGGAGAATGAGTTCACTGATTGATCCGCTCACGGAATACTGGATGGTTGATGATATCTTATTGTTAGACAGCGATTCCGTAGTCCCAGTAGTGTATCTGGTCCTTAGACTTGAGACACCAAGGATATCTTGTATAAGTACTTCAATCTTTGATACTAGACTTATAGGTTCGAAAGTTTCAAATATAGTACAGTTGGTTATTGGGAGTGGCAGCTAACCTTACGAGGGCTATTAAGTGTCGATAGAGGATAATCTAGTAGAGAAATCTAGGGGGCGACATCACATGCATAGCAGAAGAACATAAAACAAAATCTCCAATTTTCGAAAGATGTGTTTATCATCGTGTGAATATTGGTACGCAAAATTCACGAAACTTAAAACTGTGTATATTAAATATTGTATTACCTAGGGAGATCGTTTATCCCTGAATCCCTACAGACCTGTAGGAGAGAATAAAAGAGGTTAAGCGTCCTCCTCTCTAGCGGTGATCCACACATCAGGGTTATGACGATACTCCTCAAAACTCCAGGCCTGCGATTTGAGGAGAATAGGAGATGACAACCCAGGGAGGTTTAACCTATGAACCATTGGTTCCCTCCTATTTATATAGGTCCCCTGTCAACTTAACCCAAATGGATCCTACCCTATTGGGTATTGGATATCCATCCAACTACCTAAGCCTCTTAGATTAGTGGATCTCTATCCAATAATCTCTCATTGGCTCTTATTGGATCTCATCCATAGGATCGAATAATTCATGGGCTTATTGGATATCCAATAAGATAGGGGCTCTAGTAGATATCTCATATCCTAACCTCTACTCATCGCAATGCCTACCATATGTGTGTGACCCTCTAAGCCCAATATTGAGCTGGCTGTGAGTCATATATGTCAGAACTCCTTCTGGTTTAGTGAATTATTATCTCTATAATAATTCACTCGACTCATCGATTGCGGTCGTACTTGGCCACTACGCCGTAGTCCCCAAACGATACAGGGGAATCAAATTCATTGGACATATCTATCCTCAGTTACTGTGTACCTATAGTCCATCATCCATCTAACATCATAGAGACCGTATATCGAGCATGGTGCTGTCAAACCCATACGGTTTCTACTTGAGTCTCGCTCTAGTCAGATTCTCTCTCCCAGAAAACTCTTTCTCTCTCAATCCAAATGACCCTGGCTAGGGATTTGTTTGAGCAAGAATACATGGGATATTCTTCTCATAACACCGAGAATAGATGATCCTCTATCGACACTCAATAGTCCTAGTAAGGTTGTCTACCACTCCCAATGACTGGCTATGCTAGATCTGGAACCTCCATATCTTTAAGTCTGATATCAAAGAATACACTAAGCAAAACAAGTTTGGTTAGTTTAGGTTTCTTCCGGTGAACTTCCGACGATCTCTCAACAATATTCCAACGGACTCACGACAAGCTCCTGGACTTCACGACGATCTTCTTGGCAAGTTACGACGAGCTTCTTTGGTAAGCTCCTGGACTTCTTGATCAATTCCAACAGAACTTCTGACGAACATCCAGACTTCCGACGAACTCTCGTACTCCCAACGAAATCTTGATCTTGACTCCGACACTTCATTTTGCTTTATGTCTTGATTGCTATCATAGTTAATCCTACATACTTTTCTCAATATATAGATTTGATCAAATAATTTACCAATTGATTTCATCATCAAAATATGATATTCAACAAATTTGACAATCCAACAAAATTTTCTTGAGATATGTCGGAGGCCCTTCTTCTAGCACTAAACTGTTAAGTCAAAATTTAGTTATTCATGCTGTTTATTTGGAGTCAATTGAGGTCCCTCTTCCATGCTAGTCTCATGTCGATTTAGACTAAACCGCACTTGCTCAACTTCGATGATACTAAATCCTACAAATTATGTCGAGGACATCTTGACAATGCCCCTACGATACTTAAGTTAACTTTAGGGTCAAACTATTTGGCTTATATCTATTATCGTATTGGAAGAGGTCTTCAAAAACATATTGGGGAGCTTTTTTATAATGAGATCTCAAGATAGTTACTCTTGTGATCGACACTAATTATGAGAGCTGCTTCTATCAAATATAATAACGATTATGTCTTTCCAAATCTAAAATATCATAATGTCTATTCAATTTAGTCTTGTATAGAAGTATCGATCATGTACTAATCACGTAATGTTGAGATGTCGATCATATGGTTATACCATTGATGTATCGATTACGTGAGATTGAATGGACTATCGATCATATTCTTATTTGTGTGTCACTGCACAAAATGATAGAAACAAGTTTGATAGTTATAACTTTGACATTTGGGTTATAACGGTTGCAAGGAACTATCTAATTAGAAGAAAAAATAGATACTTTATCTGAGTAGATGTGAAATTTTTTTTTTAATTTTTTTATAATAATAAAGAGAATTTAATCAAAGTGGCATAAAATAAACGTGACAATGTCAAAGTGGCTTTAGTTCAGCTCTTAATGGAATTGCTTTTCTCTCAGTTACTGTGTTCAAATTCAAAGGCATAAAATAAGCTAAATGCCAGGGACATTGATAGCTTAATAAACTTCACCAATAAATTCTCCGTTATTACGAAGTTTTATTCAACTTCATTTATCATATGACAATGTAGTGATTAAGCCTTCGTGGGCTTCCACCAAAATGAATACATGATTGACGAAGAGAAGGCACAAAGACAAAGAGAGGCTTTTACTACGCATCAAATCTCCAAAATGCCATCTTCTCCGGTCCGTCTCACATGAGAGTGAACCCGAGGAACACGACAGCGGCGGCGACAGATCCCACTGCCGTGGAGACTTCGACCACCGCCGCCTGCGTGCCGCTGGATCCCTGAGCCGGCGTCGGGCCGAATACGATTGGGTAGGACTGGGACTCTGCCGGGGGGGCGGTGGAGTCGAAGGCAGGGGGCGGGAAGAAAGTGCCGTTGGCAGAGGGGACGGCGACGACCAGCTTCTGGTTCTTCTTGCAGTGATCGGCGACGCCGCTGGTGAAGTAATAGTACCCCGGCACAGTCAGATTGAAGAGGGAATTACCGTCGTCCAGGTTCAGTACGGGCTCCCCCAGGCTGCAGCTGTTGAAAGCCCGCTCCGTCACCTGGATCACCGAATCCTGGCTCGGCGGGTACAAGAACACTGAACCACGTAGCCAACCATCACGAAAATTCAGATCCAGGAGACAGAGAAGAAGACGAATGATAGCAGTGAAGTAACGGTGTTTTGCTTACGGAGGGAGTCGCCGAGGCGGAAGTGGTGGTTCTGAGACCAGGCGGAGTAGAGAAGGGAGTTGGAGGGAGGAGGAACACCCCAGCAGTCGAGATCGCCAACCTTGTATTCGTAGCACCAGCAGCCATTCTGTGGTCCGAGCAGAAGCAGCAGCGCTGCCGCCAGGACGATCCGGAACGATGCCCCACGATGTAAGAAGCAAAACGGATGCATTCTAGTTTGGATCTGTCGTTCCTCGTCTGGCTTTTGCTGCGGAAGAGAACGTGAGAGTTGGAGGAATAAGAAAGGGAATACGAGGAGGGGGATGGACTTCTCTTTCCCAATGAAGCGAAGGAAGATGACGGTGGTGTTGGTGATGGATGCAGAAGAGGCAGGGATTTGGATACACGCAGCGGTAGTGATGGGTTTGCTTTTGAGGCACGGCACGTGGGCCGGTTGGGCGAACACGCTGTTCCAGATCGGGGTGTCGGGGAGACCTTTGCTAGGTTAGGCCTCTTTAAGATGCGTGCAAAATTGATTGATGGTTTGGATTTGGAAGCATCGGGAACGCCGTGTGACAATTTATATATATATATATGTTGATTTTATAACTGAATGTTGGTGGCGGTAGAATATTAAATAATGAAAGAAGTAATAAATTATGTATTTATGATTTTTGATAGTGAGGTAATAAAATTTTTCAAACCTTTTATCCTAGGATAAATTAATTAAAATATTTTATGACTTATATGATAAACTTAAAAAATAATAAAAATATAATTTATTAAAAATTATGTTTTACTTACTAAAAAATATTTACGATAAATATATTCCTTGCATTAAATGTGAAAACTTAGAATCGTTTCATCCTGAACTTAAAATTAAGTTATTCTAAAAACCATATATTTTAAAATAAAAAAATTACTAATCATGAATAAAAATTAAAAATTTACTTGAAAGATTCAACTAATAGTGATAATATAATAGAATCACTTAAGAAGGAAAATTTATTTGTACAATAAATATTAAAAAAAATTAAAGTGGGAAATAATTCTCTTGATTCTTGCTTAAAAAAGATAATTCATTTAGAAAAGATAGAATTGGACACATCCAATCTTATGACATAGAATACTTTGGACATGTCGGACCAATTATGTTGTGTGCAGATTTGTCTGAGTATAAGTTTTACGAAAACAATTAACAATGCATCATTAGAAGGCTTATTAGTTCATACAACATAAATAATTTGACTATAAAAAATGATATACACTTGTCACAGACAAATACATCAAATAATCTAAGATCCATTTTTTATTAAACATGAGAGAACACTATTTTATCAAGTTTTGTAAATATTTTAAAAAATATTTTATATTAAGAATGTTTACGTGTATAAAGTTGTTAATATACTTTTGATGAATTTATTATTACAAATTTTTATTTAAGGATTCATAAATATATCATACCTCAAAGTATTTAAATATTTTATTGCTCTGATATCACCTGATCCATATGAAGTTTAGGTTTAATGATCCACGAAGTTTAGGTTTAATGATCCATCGATCCGATATTATCTTTCTGATTGAAGTTTTGATAAAAGAGAGAACTATGACAAATAGATCATACATAAAATAAAATAAAAAAATCTATATTATTTGGAAAGTCAAAGCATTAACTACAAGACTTGAAATAATTGAATAAAAGTGTGATAGAAAGCTTATAGATGCATAAGAATATAAGTTATCTTTGGCTAACACTTAGGTGATCTTGACGGTTTATGTATCATTGTTAGTTTTAATGTTCTCCTTCTCTCTTGTTGCTAAAATCTCTTCGTATGGTTTGGATAGTAGGTAGGTAGGATGCTTTAGAGACTTCTTGTAATAGTTGGATGAAGCTTTGATTCGAACTTTGACTATTGGAACTCGAGGAGGAAAGTTATGGTAGGGAGGATAGGCTACAAAGTGCAAAATTATTCCCTTCTTACTTCTTTTCTCTCTTGGAATAGTTAGGACACGTATAACTAGTACTTTTCTTATAGAACCATCTCACCCTCATCCTTGATGGCTATCCCTATTTAGGTGAGGACTGTCCTAATCTGAGTCATATTAAAACTTGGATCAAGGTGAATAGATTGTTAGAATTTTAGCCTCATTTAGTCAAACAAGACTGAATGGTGTTGACATTATTTTTTATCATCGACTGACTCCAAATTAATATCCAGATCAAATAATCAAATTTTGACTTTAAGTGATGCTAAAGATTAGTCCTAACAAAACACATCGATACATCATCGTATGCTATTGCAGCTAGATCATAACAGACTGATTTAAGCGATAGAAAGTTACAGCTAGAGCATGCCATGCCTCAAGAACATGATTTGCTAGTTCAACAAAAAAAGTAGCGATGGCTTTATGTGGTCAAATAGTAGTGCAGATTCCCTCTCCTATTTATACAAATTAGGAGGAAGGATTTCCCTAACAGAATAGAGGATTTTCCTCAACATAATAGAGAAATTTTCTTATATCATGCCCCCGCAAGATGGTGCTCCTGATAAGGATACCAATCTTGGATCGATGCAAAGAATTGTTTACAGGCTTCATGAGTAAGATAAGTGTAGATCGCTACTGCTGCTGCTGCGATTGCTGTTGCTGTGATGGCACAGGCGTTCCCTTCATTCTCCTTAAGTCTGCCGAATGTTGACAGATCAGCGAAGACTACCGCGGTAAGACTACCGCGGTGAGGAAGATGAGGATTGACCATGGAGCCTCTTAGGAATGCAACGGCGTTGGTCGCTGGCCGAAGGGTGAAGCTTCACTTTTCTCAGCGACGTTGGTCATGGTTGCGATTACGACGGCTACGACGGTAGAGAAGAAATCTACAACAATGTTACAGTGATGCTACTACAGCAAAGGAGGAAACTGCAACAGAGGAGGAAGTTGTAGCAGGAAGAAGGAAAACAACCAGAAGGATTTCCCTAACAGAATAGAGGATTTTCCTCAACAGAATAGAGAAATTTCTTAGGAAAATCTTATCTTCTATCAAATACCTTGGCAACACTATGTAGCAACTCAGAAGCATCCAATTATGACTCCGAGTGCCTCAACTGAACTCATCAACATGTGGACATCGTCGAATAACAGATGATAATAGTAGAGCATACCATACGTTAAGTGATGACTTGTTGTGATCAAGTAGTGATAGAGAATCTATTGTCAACTGATCTAAGTTATTATTTATCTATTTACATGTATAAAGATTCAAAAAAAAAAAACTTTTTTCCTATTCATTATGATTAGAATGACAATTTGAACCCCTTCTCCTCGTTTATAACAAGGAAGACAATCTTAAATTATCTTCTCCTCCTTTATGATAAAGGAAGGCCATCACGAACTTTCTTTTTCTCCTTCAAAGATATAAAAGCACATCCTAAATAGAGAAAAAAAAAAAGTGAACTCTCTTTTTTTCTTAAACTACTCAAGCCCACATTTAAGGATATCAGATTACTAACTTGAGCTTTAGAGGGACTGAATTGAGAAACCTCCCCGACCCTAATCTTCATGTAGGTGGCACCTTGGGAGCATAATACTTTCACCTTGGGAGGATAATATTTTTATCTTGGGAGCATGGTATTTCCACCTTAAAGATACTTCGAATAATCTTATGCACATGAGTTTAGACCACGTCAAGCTAATCAAGACATCAATGAGTTTGCATTGACGAACAATCTTATAAATCAGTTTGCATTTTCCTTTATGCTTTTTATTCCTACTATTAATCGACTTACTTGCTCACTACTCTGATGCATTTTTTATACTAGTTTCATCGAACAAATTTTTGAATCGTCTCTCTATTTTGAAAGCGCCATCGCCTATGACCATTATGCAAGACATTATAGTTACTTGCCATGGCCACTATGTGAGGTGCAATCGCTACCTATATGTGATTATCGGTGTCCAATTGACGTTGGTCGGTAGTAGCAGTGTTACCGCAACTACTATAGTCATTGCAGGCAACGACACTATAGAGCCACTACTCACAACTAAGTGAGCGACTAGCGAAGGTCGTCACTCTCAATAATACTATTACCGACAATAAACTGTCGATAATGATCCATTGATTAAATACAAGAAATCTTACATCGACCATAAGCAAGCAATATGATGGACCGGAAAGAAAAGCAAATTGATAATACTGATGAATTTGTTCATACATCATAAAGAAAAATTAATTAACACCTTTTCACAAGCAAAATGTGCTAACAAATATATCAAAATTATTTAATTTCAAAACTATAACTCTAATTCCAATTGTTAGTATAAAATTATAATATATTATTATTAAGTGATAGACTTTAATGTCAAAATCAGAAATCAAATAATAATAGATTTAAAGATTATGATGTGTACCTTTTCTTTGCACGAGATCTATAGTGATGTCGATTTACAAAGAGAACTAGACTCGCCTTATCATCTCTTCCTATGTTTCACAAGACCACTATGATCAATAGATTTAGGGACAAAGAGAATATGAGAGAAGATATGTAATCTCTCATTGACTAGTTCAAGTGACTAAGCGAAGATAAGGGAAAATCTATAATATCTCAATCATGTCACATATCCACACTTTCACGTACCTGCTATTTATGTGTCTACATATTCAATTATTGTGAGTGTATTATTATTTATTCTAAGATGCCATATTTATTTATAGACAATAGCATAAGATCTATGATAAGTAATTAGGAGAGTCTCTCCCATCAATATAATCTCCTAGGGATTCTTATCATTATTAGGTTTTACTTTTATTGACTGATAATCATAATTAGAATATAATCATATCCATAATATATCTTACCTAATTAGATAGAGTCATGTAATATAATAATTTTATGTAAATCAACTTTAAATTATTGAATTATACAAATAATATTTTTACATTTGCTAAAGTATGCGGGTAAAAAGTTAAAACTTTCCCCTTAATGTTTTAATAAATCGTTGTTGTTAGATCCATGCTTTCCCTTTTTGGTTTTTTTGGCACTTAGGAGGGCAATTAGGAGAAGGAATTAAGCAATATGGTGTTGTGTTCCGTTGTGACCCTACTTTGAATGTATTAAATGACAATAATGTCAATATTTTTATTTTCAAATCATCTAATTCCTTTTAAAAAATGGTAATATTTTGTTGGAATTTTTTTAAAAAAGACAATAACTATTGTTTTCTGAAATATAAAAAAATTTCTGAAAAGAGAATATCGGATGGAATTTCAAACTTCTTTCCTTTTTACCAAAATTTATTTTCTCAAAATAGGTGTTTCTAAATACAGAAAAGTTTTATGATTTAAAGAAAACAAATGATATAGAATGCTTTGCTAAGTATAATCCATATTCAGAAAGTTTCTTTTAAAAATTTGGAAATTTACAATTACCACTTGAGGAATACTAGATTTTCCATATAAATCATCTGCAATTCAAATTTATGAATTAAAAATCACGAAATTAATACAGATAAAACTTTCCAAAAATATTTAAGCTCTACATATTCGAATTTTCAGTATTTGATTTTTTTTAATCCATACATCTGTTTTAAACAACATTAACACAAAGATCAAATAAAAGAGTTTATTTGTTAGAGAAAGTTTTAATTTATTAGTTTCTCAACATAAACTAAACTATGTATTTTGCACTAATTTAATAAAATATAATAATAACTAAATCAGAACTAATTATCCGATGTGAAATAACAAGAAATATGACGGATTTGCTTGAAAAAATAAATTAGGATGGGTTCACAGTTTTAAAAAGAAACTATTGATTTTTATTTTTTATCAATTTATAAATTGCATTCATTTAAGCAAGTAATTCAATATTGAAAATATTGTAAGTAGTTTTAGGACAAGTTATCACCTTGTTAGATCTTCTATAATGATCCTATTGATATAGAATGAGCCTTAGATTGTAAAATTAATCGAATTATAATTAATCAGAGATTTTTTAACCTTAGGACCCTATATATTATTTTAAATTTCAGCATAACCATATATATGAGATATATGACAGTAAAATTTTATATATGAAAATGTGAATAACACTTAATTATTAATTATTGATAAATTGAACCGTTCGTTCCATCCGACCCGGAACCACCATGCGTTGCTCAAGAAGATCCGATCCGTAATAGTGGGTCGAACTAACGGGTTCGGATCAGCAGCGTCAGCACCACATCCAGGTTTCGTTGTTTGTATTGGGCTATAAATTCTCCACCACTTATTCGTGTCATTGGCAATTCGATCCTTCGTCCAACTTCGAGAGACGCCTTCGCTTCTCCTTGGGAACCCTAACCCTAGACTCCAACCCCTTCGTGTCGTCGTTGGCCATGTCGCACTTCGGGAGATCGGGGCCGCCGGACATCAAGGACACCTACTCCCTTCTCGTCCTCAACATCAGCTTCCGTGAGCACATCCCGCCTTTGCTTCCGAACGCTCTCCCGTCGCTTTTGATATATGCATAGTTCTGACGTGTCCGTTTTCTGGATCACAGGAACCACGGCGGATGATCTCTTCCCACTCTTTGATCGGTATGGTAAAGTGGTTGACGTTTTCATTCCAAGGGATCGGAGGTGAGCGATGCTTGTCCTTTGATGGGTTTGCTAGTTTGGACTATTTTGTTGCTAATTTTGCTGGCATTTTGTTATTTGGTTTTTTTGGGGGGGTTATGAAGGAGTGGAGAATCGCGGGGGTTTGCTTTTGTGAGGTATAAGTATGCAGATGAGGCACAGAAGGCTGTTGAAAGGCTCGATGGCAAGTTTCTGTTCTTCTTCTTGATGATTTCGTTGAGTGTTTTTTTTTATAGCTCAAGATCTGAGATTTATGTTGATATCTATTTTATTTTTTTTGATCTTTTAGGGAGGAATGTGGATGGGCGGAATATTATGGTTCAGTTTGCAAAATATGGACCGAACGCTGAACGAATGTAAGTGTGCATAATTGCTCGTTTGTTTGTTAGCAAAAGCTGTAAATCGTATTTATTTAATTAATTTTTATCACTTTTGAGTTCCAAATCCTTTAAAAAGGGGTGAGTCCTATGGTGGATTTTTCTTTAGATAGAACTCTATAACCTGAACGCAGATTGGATCAAGTTGGGAATGCTTTGCTGCTACGTTTCTTTTCACTCAACATTGTCTTCTTTCTTGTGTGTTTTTCAATCTGAAAAATACAACTTAAAATGTTTTTGCCCCATTGTAATTTTAGGGTTTCTGCTTCTTTATTGATGTACGTAATTGCCTTGTGTACTTATGACATTACTTTTGTTCCTACATGTTGCTTGAATATAATGGTAAAAAAATGTGTGGTGTCATATGTGATGGTTTGGTTTTTCGTCTGTGTTACCTGTGCAAGTGATTACTGTGACTCTGAGAAGCTATAAACAGTAAATTTCATGTAACATGGCTACTCTTTAATAATCTTTAACTAAATTCTATCTAGATTTGGTTTACAGATAGCATAAAAATCAAAAAGAGAATTTTTTTAGAAGTTAAATCACTCCTATATATGCATCCTTGCACTGTAAGGTCTCAAGCATGAGTCTATTAATATGTCTTGTTTGTGACCTGGGTTGAATTTGTGTGAACAAGCTACCACGTTTGTTCTCCTACCATTGGTCAACTTTAGAAACTATTTGAACGAAGTTGAGTAAGGACGTTTTTGTAGAATTGAACAATATGCGTATGTTCTATATGTTATTCTCTGGGAGGTAGTTACCGTAGTCTGTTAAGCTATTTAGGTTGGTTGTTTGAATATGATCGTTTTCCTCTCTGAAAACATTTCATTGTTTCTCCACCATGAGGATCTGAGTGAGTCCAGTTGTGAGTCATAATTTCTTGGTTTACTAGAGTGTTGTAATACTCAAATAGGTTTCTTTATTGATCATTGTTACAAGTTGGATGTAGTTTAAAGATAGTGGTGGAAACTTTCAGGTGACACTGGAAAGAGAGTGCTGCACCAAGCAGCTTGAAGTCAAAGTGGCAACCAGCATAAATTAACAACCTATAATACTAGAATTTGGTGAATATTCTTACCTAAGTATTGTTTCTGCTAGAGTCTCTGCCATAGGTTTTGCACAAAATGAGATAGTTGGATATCTATATTTGTGGGCTATATGTGTAATTATGTAGAAAATGTTATACCAAAATATTGACATAACATGATCATGCAGAACTTAGGATATCATAATTAAAAAGCACACTAAATTCTTTTTAAGTTAATATGGATTAAGGAACATAGTAAATCCAACCCAAATCATTTGAACTTTCGTGGTAGATTTATTCGACATATCAGCCCAAATTGGCTTACTTTCACCCTCATAAACCCAATTGCCAAGTTAATTCACTTTAGAACCTGGAATTTGTTTCTCTTTTAAAATGTTCATAGTGGTCTTAGTGGCCTCCTTTTAGACCACTGGTGGCTGCATTTGGCTGTTGTTACCACAGTGATTATTATGGGGTTGTGGTATGCGGTAGTTGTGGTACTAGAGGCCTCCATTTAGACCACTGGTGGCTACATTTGGCCATTGTTACTGCAGTGATTATTATGAGGTTGTGGTATGCGGTAGATGTGCTACTAGAGTTAGTGATTATCTAATTGGGTTAATTATGTAAACCATCACACAGTATAAGTTGAGTTATTACAAACAGAGTGCTTTTTGCTTGGAAATATATCTATCAAAAAAAGGGTAAGGGAGCATTTAGAAGGTGCTTTGGCATGATTTTAAAGTGGTGAAGATGGTACCAGGTTTCCCTAGTACTTTACATATGCTCTTATCTTCTTTTTTAATGTTATGGAAAATGCCCAATTGAATCTCCAGTTGAGGAGCTAACTTTGTTCCCTTTTCATTGATACGTGAGAGAAATAAGCTTCAATTCTCTTCTGATCTCATTTATTTATACAAATGACTTATGTCTAAATCAGCACAAGCATTAGATCTGACTTTTTGTGCCTTCACTTAATATAAAAGCTAGCGTAGTTAAGATGAGAATGTCGAGATGAATGTTTGAGGTTATAATAAAATGATGGAAAATCATTCAAGAAACCTATAAATGTCTTGGTTAGACAAAATGAGTTGATTAGTATTAGTGATGAGAAACCTAAGGAAACCTTATGAGAAACAATAAATTGAGATTTAATTGCTTGTAATTTGATTAGCGATAGTGGCCTATGCAGAGTTCAATGGATGGTAAATATTCATTGTTGATTCCAAATTGATAGTTGGGATGATACAACTTTTGTTGTTTGGATTAGGGATTTGGTGCGTTAAAATTGCATTTCTTTGATTAGTTTAACACTAATTTTTATTTATGGTAGACTTCTATATATAGAAGCAGACAATTTATTTTACTGACAGATAGACAGGGACTTCTGTAAGACTTACTCCATGGTAATGTGAAGAATTTTGTAAATAATTGGAATGAGTTCTATAACAATGAACGTGGGCCTTGGTTACCCTATATATACAACTCCTTGTAAACCTAGAGTCATGCTTAGCCATTATATTCTTCTTTGTACAATAAAGTTTCTTAGCTTAATAGAATAATATTAGCAGTATTCTGAAGGCTTTTACTTCTGTTCAAACTGAAGTAGTGCTTGTTAGAGGTGTAATTTCTAATAGACATGGGTGAATATTCTAAATTACCTAGAACTTCTTATGTTCACCTATGCTTGGTAATGTGTTTTGGGGACTTGCTCTGTTGTTAAAGTTGTTTTTGTTTGGCCCTGAATGCTGTCCCTGAGGTGGCTGGTTGATTGGAAACAATCTGGGAATCTGTCCTAACTATCCTCACAGTCCTTGGTGGCTGGTTGATTGGAAACAATTTGGGAGTCTGTCCTAACTATCCTCACATCGTATAGAAGTAATAATGTTAGTGATGTCTGCTTCGATTGTCCTGTCTTGTTTTTTCTTTTATTTTTGCAGACTTGTGGTTTGATTAATCTTGACATAACACACTTTTGAGTGCAACATTATATCTATACTGCATCTGTTTTTCTGTAGTTTGTTATATTATGTTTATACTGTGTAAATCATAATAGTTGCATGTGATCATGTTTGTCTTCTACTGCAGTCATAAAGGAAGAATTGTTGAGGCAATTCCAAAGACGAGGGGCAGGTCAAGAAGCCGTAGCCCTCGACCCAGGTACAGCTCCTTGTGGAAAAAAAATGACTTTTCTGGGATCTGCCCATTTGTATCTGTTAGTGTTAGAAGGCCTGCCAGTGATGGGCCATTGGTAAGTAGGCCTCCGGTGCATGCGAGAGGCATCAGGCGTTGCGTTCTGTGACAACCCTGAGCACTTGACATTAAACATGGTTTAAAAAGATGACATCTATGTCGTGGGGAAAAAAAGAGGCTTGGCCTGCCCATTTAAAATTAATGTTAGTGTTAAACATTAAGCCGTAAGCGTTAAACCTTAAGCCGTGGGTTTACAAAAAGGGACCTGGTCTGCACGAACCAATCCAAGCAAAATTGCAATCTTTGGTTTTGACTATCAATCGATGATTCATCAAGTCCTGTTGAGTTCTATATCAAATTTCCTCTCTTCGCAAATTTTAGCCAAGGTTTGCTTGGCCGAGTCAAGATTTTTTTCTTTAAAGGAACACAAGGACCAAGAACTGAAAAAGAACCACCACTATTTTATAATATTGCTATGACACATGTAGCCTTGGTTAGTGCAAAGTTATAAGTATCATATTGAAATACTGGAGGTTAATAGATCATTCTATAGTCAAACAAGAAGACAACAATGGAACATAAAGAAGCATCAGAACTTGAAAACAAAACAGAAAAGAAAAAAAATAGCATGAACCACCATTGCATAGACATGGAAAAACATCAAAAGGAAGCAAAATAGAAAAAGAGTCTACTCTTTCAATTCTTCTTTGATGTTTTTCATCAGTGACGAGTTTCAAAATACTTCCTGGACCAAAATACCAGATGTATTTACAATTGGTATGAACAGGACTCACAAATTTGAATGAATTTCCTGCTTCGTTTAAGCAACTTGAAACAAGCCACAAGGTAAGATCTTGCCTGGATTAAAATTTATATGCATTGGACTAACTCTGCTGGTTAAGTTGCACCAAAGTCCAAGAAAATAGGCTGGATTGGGCTGATTAATACTGACTTGACTGAGTTTAAAAATCACATGGGTGATTTATAAAACTCATACATTTTATAGATTTTTTTGGGTGCTTGAGTTGGTTCCTTTTGGCGACTTGGTTCTTAAAAACCATGAAACTTGTTCAAATGACCAAGTGAAATCACCGAGCATCCGATTGATACTTCAGATGCTTCCTGGTCCTTCTAGATTTTCTTTGTTCATCGTGATTCTTTACCAGGTACAGAGACAGTAACCGAGAGAGGGATTATAGGAGGCGAAGTCGTAGTAGAAGCAGAGGTAGGTACGAGAGTGACAGGTACAATGATCGAGAAAGGGATTATCGCCGCCGCAGCCGCAGTGCAAGCCCTGATTACTCTAGAGGCCGTGGTAGAGATGATCGAAGGAGTCGAAGTGTCTCGTATGACAGGTAACATATTGGACCTACCAGTGAAGTGCTATTTTATCATGCAAACTGAAGTAACTTGTTCTTGTGGGCAGTGCCTCACCTGCTAGGCGTAGTCCTAGTCCTGAAAGGAGCCTGACGCCCCGCCGAACACCTCCTTCAAGTCCTGAGAAAGGTAGCCATGGTGAACGTTCCCCACCTTCAAAAAGTGCATCACCCCTGGCTCGCCGTACTGGTTCCCGGAGTCCATCTTCTCGCAGCTTAAATGAGGTTGTTATAATTGCATAGTTTCTTCACTTTCTTTTGTTGGATGCTGTATTACTATATTGTTAATTGTAACTGCTATCTTACAGGATTAACATGCTGCTTATGCATTGGAGGATGTGTATTACCGTTGCTATCTAACTTTGGATTCGGTGGACTCCTGTTAAGGTTGAATATGTGTGCTTTACTAGACTTAATCTTAGCTTTTAAATGGCTAGTTATTGGTATTAAACTAGTTTCTGAGACTTGCAGCTTTAGTTCTGGAGTGCTTTGTTTGTTATGGAACATGATACTCTGTTTTCTTCCCTTTTCTTCTGGACCTATATCCTTTTGATAATCTTGCAACTTATGATAGACCGCATTGTGCATTTTTCTAGTTATCTGTTCGTGAAAGTGCTGATGTGGCATTTGACGAGATGATATCAGAAGGATGTTTCCTTGCTGATGATGTTCTGGCCGATGATCTTAGTTCATTATTGATGTTGATGGTGATGATGAATGTTGATGGTGATGTTGATGGTGATGATGAATGTTGATGGTGCTGTTGAGCTGTTGGTGACTGAATGCTGTTCGTTTGATGCTCGTGATGTCATTCTGCAGTCACAACATTGTAGAAACAAGAAGAGGGTTCCAGTATGCATCATGAGGTGTTTAATTACATGCATTGATTTTGAGTTGGTAAGAATCATATCTTTGTTTATTGGTCTTGTCCATATGATTTTCTTTCATTCTAATTATGTTACCGTAATTTGTTTCCAACTTTTTAGCACTAAAGAGTAGTGCTAGCAGTGATGATCGTGCCATTTCCTGTTTCAATTAACACATGATGCCTTTTGAAGAGTTGGATATGCAATTGCACATGGATGTGATGCAGAAGCCGTGCTGGGGTGCACAATTGATTTCCATCTGACACTAATTTGAAGCAATTTGTGCTTCCAACCTTGTCCACTGCATGCTTAGATGGTTTGGCTGCTGTCAGAAGACTTGTAGATTGATGGTCTGACACAAAGACAAGGGGTACCAGCAATTATAGGCTTATGTTATGGAACAATTGCATGCTTATGAGTATGGAACAATCAAATGGTTGGAACAATCTATAGAGGTTGCTTTATATCATTATTCTCTTGTGGTCTTGCAATTAGTTTGCTTGCTAAGATTATGATCTTGATTCTGTTCTTTGAACATTGAGTATTAACTGACTGTAGCTGTTAAATGGAAGAGGTTGAGCATGTAAGCTACCTCTAGGCTATGGAACTTGTTATTGTAGCTGCAGAAATCATTTCCAATTTGGTTGTTACAATTTAGTTTGGAAGCTACCTCCTCTAGGCTATATTGGCCTTGTTTCAACTGCTGTTACCGGTGGTTGTTACATTTTGCTATGGATCATTTCCATTTGTTTAGACTTTTCTTGTGTATGTGACCTTGCTCTTTTTAGTTTTTGATTCAATTGATCCATAATCTGTTTGGACAAATATATATAGTATTGTGTGCCTCATTTCTGCTATTTTGGATTTACTAGTTCTCTGTAAATAATGTTTTACTTCATTTTGTTCTGATGATACTTGTAATTTACAAGTCTCGGTTTATGTTTTTCATGCCTAAGATCATTACACTCATCTCCATATGTGGTTACATCCGTAGAGCATACGAGTATCGTCTGTCTGTAAAGGTTCTGGCATTTAAAATAGCTCTCTGAGTTTTGGGGCATCCGAACTTTTTATATTTTTGATGTTCAGAATATTCTTATGGAGGGACACAAGTTTCTGATGCGCACATATAGGCACATACAAATGTCCGTAAATATATACGTAAGAATGCATGCCTAACGTTTGTTGTGTATTTCGTCTGATGAAATCAAGGATTATTAATTACCCAAATGTTTGTGTTTTATTGCAAGAGTGTAGGGAAATTAGAACTCCAGTAACAACTTAAACGGGCGCTTTGCTTCTCTAGCCAAAGTATCTCTCAATTTATTTTGGTCACAAATTATTGCACTAGTAGTGGCATATGTTTATTTAAACATCATAAATACTTAGATAAAACTAATTTCCATTCTTATGTTTTTTCAAATACAGTAAAAATTATATGCATCAAGCGTCCAGTGTCGTGGTCCAATTCTTATGTGGTTCATTCCGTCAGTTTGCCAACGGTGCTAAAGCATAGTTATAAAATTTTGATCGGTCCTTTTATCGGTTTGGTTCAAAAAGAGCGTTTAAACTTTAGTAGATTCTATGGTTCAACCAAGTCTTAATTTGATCAGTGACGTGTCTACCTTTTCTTTATTAGTCAAAGTATCTGTTATTTGCATATAAAAGGAGCTTATTTCCAATCCCAATTGTATCCACAATTCATGAAAGGAGTTCATTGCATATAGAGACGAAGACATCGAGTGGAACGTATTATAACAGATAAAACTCGTATGACTTACAGGCCTCATTCATGAGGACCCATCGCCCAAGCATTGCATATCAAGTTTCTATGGCAACATCCCCACGCACATAAACGATGTTCACGAGCAGCCAAATCATAGGCTGTCGTTGTTTCTTTCTCCTGCTTCAATTGTCAGACAAACATCCACGCCTGTCATGAACAAGGAATGCCAAAGTTACAAGTTCAGAGTAGCTACAAAATTTGTTGCCTGCCTCGAGGAGTTCTGAAAATGATGCTACACTAGCCTGGTATTCTTGTGTGATTCCCGGTGATTAATGATAGTATTTGGTATGCTCAGTACAACAAACAATCCTGGACAATATTATTATTATTATTATTATTAGTTTCAAAATTTGGTATTTATTAATTTGTTGGTATTGTTTTGGATTGAGACGAGTCTGAGCCATAACCCGAAACTAAAAAACTTGACCGAAACACTTATCGGAGCACATGATGATGTACTTGGCGTGTAAATAACTCCGGGCCGAAGATCCATTTAAAAGAAAGCTAATTTGCTTGCTCATTCATATATACATGCTACGTGTCTAGGTGTTTGTTATCTGTTAAAAAGACTAACTAAAATTACGGGTTAGTATTTGAAAAACACTTTACTGTTACCGCATGATCTTACATGAATATTTAGTTTGATTTGTGCTTAAGTATAAATTTTATTGATGTCATTCATTAATTTGAACTTGCACTTTTTGTCTTATTTTCGGATTAATATTTTAAACTCAATATGTCTGTTGATCACCTCTTTGTTTGGGTTTCGAGAAAAAAAAAATTAAAATTATTAAAAATTCTTCTGAGTTCTTTGTTTATCTATCTGTTCATAAACTAAAGAATAAAATAAAACTATTTCTTACTTTCCTTTTAATTTTCTGTCTATGGTTTACCTAATTTGAATTTTAAAAAAATCATAATAGAAAAGAAAGGAGAAAGGAAGGCCCCTATCATATTGTTTCTTTTTTGGTAAACTGATAAATAATTAAAAGAATCATTAAAAAATATATCTCTTTGCTCTAAGGAGATTTCATTTCCATTTTTTAAAAATATTTTATTAATAAAAAAGAAGTTTTTTTAAAAAATGTTAATGTAATATTTGATTTATTTCTGTTTCAGAAAAAAAAATTCTAATTTGGATAAAAAAAAAATCTTTCTCATTTGTGGTTTCACTCTTTATGAAGTTCATTCAGAACAGAGTGACGTGACAATCAAAATATCATAATAATTTAACTAACATAAGTTTAGAATACAAAACTAACAAGATCCTGATTGACTAGAATCAACACCACAACCTCACAATAGAAACAAAATATGCATGTATATTTGATGAAGAATGGCAATTATTCACTATGCATCTATATTCTTTCTTTACCAACGTTACTTTTGGTATTAAAATTTTTTATCCTCCTAGAATATTGACTTTAGGAATCTCAAAATATTTATCAATCATAATATTTTTATTATAAATATAAAAGTAAGGTATGCAATTAATAGGTATTAGAAAACATGCAATGTCAAATTTTAGCATATTAAAACAGGTGCACGAGGGTAGAAAATAGAGAATAGAGATGCTGAGAAGACAGAGAGAGAGAGAGAGAGAGAGAGAGAGAGAGAGAGAGAGAGAGAGAGAGGCAGAGGTGAAACCTGCAATGTCAAACTGCAGTGCACTAAATTGGGCGATTGGTAGTCGAAACAGATACAGGTGCATTGGAAGTCTAAGTTCCTTTTGGCCAAAACACCATTCACTGTTCCTTTCTTTTGTTTTTATTGAACTAGGAATATACTTGAAAAGGCAACATAGAAGGATCCACCAACAGTTACAAGCCCTGACAATTGAACTAATAAGACTTGTTTCACTCGAACCCGCACCTAAATAAGAGGAGATCCGTGGGTGATATGTTCATGTATTTGACGTCTACAGCAAGTTAGGCACAGACCAATTCCCAATCTCTGATTCCACGCCACTTGGATTGGAAATTAATGAGCCATAGTGTTACAATGTCTGATTTGGGTTTCGGCTATATACTGTTTTGGGTCAATCATAAAACAAGTATTTCAATTATCCTTATTTATATCCCGTCTTCGTTAGGTTTTGATTGGTATATATGATACCTATTTGACTGTTTTATCTTATCTAATTAGATCATGTATAAGTCTTTTTTCAATATCTGTTGCCTTCCTATGATATCATTTGCTTTTTTTTTATACTCTATTGGAGAATACTTGATAATTTTTTTATACTCTATGGAAGAATACTTGACAACTTAGTCAATATGAAAAGTCTCCGCTTCATTATGATTTTTCGATCATATCTTTATACATAAATCAGTTAAAATTATATATAAAGAGAAAATTATAAAAATTTATCGTGATATAAAGAGAAATAAATTTTTGTATATGAACAAATACTAGCAGGCCATAATACGCAGTATAATTAAATGAAATCACAATCAAATAGAACACTAGATTTATGTGAAAAATCTCTCCAACGTGAAGGGTAAAAACCATGGGGCAAACTAGAGATAATCTACTATAAGAATAATGAATTTATAAATCTCAGTCTTTTGTCCAAAACTCAAGCAACAATCTCAAGAGAATAACTAGGATATAAGGAATATTCAAATTCACCCAAAGTAATCATAGTCAGAATCTACTATAGATATGATCTAACCTGATATGAGAATACTGCTTGGATGATTGAGAACAATCTCTCTGCATTATCCTTGTCTTTTTCCCTTTTTATTTTTCTACCCTTTTGCTTGGATGATTGAGAACAGACTCTCGGAGCTTGTTTACTTAGATTATAATATTCGTAGGGGTACTTTAGAATATATCAATTATTTACTAGCAGCTTTCCTTAAGTACTAGTATAGCAACATTGCTTCCTTTAATCACTCGGTATGGGCTGGGCATAAGAGAAATTAGTACAAAAGAATCCAATATCACTCACATCTTTATGGACTACCTTCTCCTCTTTTGTTGAATCAAGATGTTGCTATAATTTTCTCCCTTGCTACTATAGTTTTCTCCTAATTTTTGTAGCCACCACACCCCCCTTATTAGATCTAGGGTTTGACTTGAAAGAGGGGTGGGCTGTGGGCTATTAAAGCCTGCTATGGGCTAAACCTATGGGCTGTCAATCCAACAACCTCCCCCTTCAGCCTATAAAGGAGGCTATCTCATGACTCCTTAACATGAAACCATGTCGACTAGTTGTCGACATATCTCATGTCTTTCTTTTGATAAAGTCTTTGTTAATATGTTTGCTCCATTGTCATCTGTGTGAATTTTCTGAAGTTGCAACTGCTTCTCTTCAAGTACATTTCAAATCCAGTGGTATCTGACATCTATATGCTTTGACTTGGAATGAAAAGTTGAGTTCTTACACAAATGGATGACACTCTAGCTGTCACAATTCAGCATATAGTTTTTTTGTTTCATGCCCAATTCTTATAAGAATTTTTTAATCCATAACATTTCTTTGTAAACCTTTGTAGCATTAATATATTCCGCCTCTGTGGTGGAAAGAGCAATACACCTTTGCAATCTGGATTGTCATGACACAGCTCCTATAAAAGTAAGTACAAAATATGATGTGGACTTCCTCGTATCAATATCTCTTGCTATATCTGCATTTGTGTAACCTGTCAACACAGGTGGTCCACCTCCAAAGCTTAAACAAACCTTAAAGCTCCCTCTGAG